CCCCTTCCCCACTCAATCTCTCTCTCTCTCAAAAATAAAGAAATGTTTAAAAAAAATTTTTTTAATAAAAAAGTTTGTTTCTTCAGTGTCCCTACATTATCCTGTCAAGATTAAGCACAAAAAGTGGCATCTGGGTGGCTCAGTCGGTTGAGCATCCAACTCTTTTTATTTATTTATTTATTTATTTATTTATTTTTATTTTGGGACAGAGAGAGAGCATGAACGGGGGAGGGGCAGAGAGAGAGGGAGACACAGAATCGGAAACAGGCTCCAGGCTCCGAGCCATCCGCCCAGAGCCTGACGCGGGGCTCGAACTCACGGACCGCGAGATCGTGACCTGGCTGAAGTCGGACGCTTAACCGACTGCGCCACCCAGGCGCCCCCCAACTCTTTTTAAATTAAATGTTTTTATTTATTTATTTTGAGGGTGGGGAGGGGCAGAGAGAGAAGGAGAGAGAATCCCAAGCAGGCCCTGTGCCATCAGCTCAGACGCGGGGCTTGATCCCAGGAAGCGCAAGATCATGACCTGAGCCACACTGAGAGTCAGATGCTCAAGCGACTGATCCACCCTGGTGCCCCTGAGCATCTGACTCGTGATCTCAGCTCAGGTCTTAATCTCAGGATCGTGAGTTTAAGCCCCATGTTGGGCTCCATGCTGGGTATAGAGGAAGGAAGGGAGGAAGGAAGGAAGGAAGGAAAGAAGGAAGGAAGGAGAGAGAGAGGAAGAAAGAAAGAAAGGAAGAGGGGGAGGGAGGGAGGAAAAAGAAAGAAAAAGAAAAGAAAGGGAGGGAGGAAGGAAGAGAGAGGAAGGAAGGAAGGAAAAGATTAACCACAAAAAGAAAAAGTCCTGTTTGTGCTTCTCCCTCCTGCCCAGGATGTGGGCTTAGGCATGGGCTGCACACCCTGACTTCCTTCCACAGGGCACCGCACCGAAAGGGGGCAGAGAGTAACTTCACAGTGGAGACACCTGACGGAGGCCACCTCAGCCCGGTGGTCAAGGTCAACATCGTAGTGAAAAGTCACGCTGACGGCATGTGCCCTGGACACAGTGCGCCAAGAAGGACACCTCACCCCTGCGGTCCTCCCCCAAACTGTCACCCCAGGCCAACCATGGAAAAACACCAGACAAATCCCAACTGGGGAGCATCTTACAAAAACACCTGACTAGTCCTCAAAACTGTCAAGGTCATCAAGAGCAAGAAAGCCCGAAACAGTTTTTCAGCCCAGAAGAGCCTAAGGAGGTGTGGCAACTAAATGTAACCTGGGGTCCTGGGTCCGAAAGAGGACATTAAGAAAAACTGAGGGAATCTGAATAGTGTATAGACTTTAGTTACTAATAATGTAAGACGTTAGTTATCAGTATTGGTTCAGTCGTTATAACAGAGGTGCCATAGACATGGAAGACGTTAAAAGGAGGAGAAACTGGAATTGGAGCATATGGAACATTTTTGTACCGTCTTCGCTATTTTTCTGCAAATCCAAAACTGTTCTAAGATAAAATGATCCTTTAAAAAAAAAAATAAGTAACAAAGCTAAAATCAGAAAAATGGCAGCCCGTTTCCACTGGAATTTTAGAGGGAAAAACTTACTGTTTGCCAGGGCCAGGGCCAGAGCAAGGGGAGTAAGGCACTCGCGTCAGCTGCAGAAATTAAGGGCGCACCAAAAGGTTCTATTATCAATCACACCCATTTTACAGCTGCAGAAACCGAGGCTGAGAGGAAATCACTCGCCCAGGTCCTACAAGGGCTCTTCGCCCACAACCTCGGCCTCTGACCTGCAGTTGTGGTCCCGAGCCGACCCCAAAGTTTGAAGGCCAGCGCAGGGCAAAGTCAGCTTTGCCAAGGGTCACGTGTTTGCACTTAAGGGCCTGGCCAGGGTGGGAGACCCCTCCTCAAGGCGCGTCAGCAAGATCCCCCCATTCTTTGTTATTTGGCTGCTGAGTCCGGCCCCTTCTGAGGCCTCTCCCCGGACCCCCCGACACTCCCCGGGCACTTTGGGTTCACCGTATCCCAAATGGACCAGGTTGTCTTTCCTCAGAATGGCCGTATTTCTGTGTTACCCACCTTTCTTCCTGCCCCGCATCCATTGAGCGCCTACTGGACACCGAAGCACTTTGCTAGAAACTCCTCACTGGCCCCTACTGACGAGGCTGCTCCTGTTATTGCCCCACTTTACAGGTGACAAAATGGAGGTTCAGAGGGTTTACTTGGTGCCCTGGGATAGAGAGGCAGAATCTAGAAGTCGGAGCCTATTTCCTGCTGGAGCCAGGACAGGGACCTGGGCGACTTTATTTGTTGGCTGTGGCGGCCCCTGGTGGCCAAGTTGAGAACTGCGGTCTGCGTGGGGGGCGGGGTCGGAGGGTGGGGGGCATCCGGAGCCTCTCTGGGCTTGGGCTTTCAGTTTCCCAGCCTCCAGTCCCTCCTCAGACGCCCTGCATGGTTTCCTATAGTCCCCTCGGTGGGCGCGGGGACGCTAAGTGAGCCCCGGCTGGGTCATCACGGAGACCCCTAAACACAATATCCAGCCTGTTGGGTCAGAGCCAGGCCCTGCCCCCAGTCTTCCACACACCTCTGAGCCTCAGTTTCTCCGGCTTGAGGCTGAATCAACGGCAGCTTCTGCCTCCTCAGGTCCTGGTACACGTGAACAGCAGGCTGGCATGCACCAGACGCCCCGTAACTGCAGCTGTCACCCTCAGTTACCTGCAGGGGAGGTGCAGGAACTTGAGATGGGGTGCCCCAGGCAGCCCTAGCTCTCTGCCCACAGGAACTCAGTCGCGGACACCAAGCCAGAAAAGCTCAAGGTTTTAATTCAGCACAAATAACCCACCTCTTTCCTGGGAAATAGAAACTGAAAGCCAAACTTCTGCCTGCAAATACCCACTGGAGAGCCTCCAGGTCAAAGGATTCTCTCGAGCCTTTGTCATTGGCCAGGACGGCCGTTATGTTAATAAGGGGGCAGCCTCAGCCAATAGGACGTCCCAGCACCCCCCTAGCTCCTGCCCAAACTCACTCATTCAGGGGCAGATCTAGAGGAACCTGCTTTTTACCACTATTGGCCTGTGCCCAGGACTGACTACTCAGAGTCAATGGTGCCAGGTCGGAGTCTTGGGTGGCAGAGGTGGCTGGGGGGCTTCCTGATCCTGGCGGTGCTGGGTCTGTCCGTGGCCCTGGTCATCTTTGTTGTCAAGGCCAACAGCAAAGCCTGCAAGGATGGCCTCCTAGCAGAGGAGGAGTGTCACGGTATCACCCGCCTCCTGGAGGTCCAGCTAACCCAAGCCTGGGAAGGCTTACTGAGGACCGAGGTCGAGGCTGCCACCTGCAACAAGACTGTGGTAAGCTACTGCAGTTCCTGGAGAGCCCCCCCCCCCCCCCCCGTGTTTGGGTGGTCCCCACCGGTCTAGATGGAGATAAAGACAGACCTTGAAACTGCCCCTGGACCCTCATATAGGGACCTGAGTCCCAATAACCCCCCATCAGGCTTTGGGGACCTCTGAATTCTCTCAGCAGTGCTGGTATGGGGCAGGGCCTTAAAACTCCTTGGAGCATCCAAATCGGGTGTGTCAGTATCCTCGCTAGGATGTGCAAAAACCTCCAGCCTGCTGTGGGGGGGCTAGAAACTCCTCTCGGCACCAGTCCTGTATAGCAGAGATCCCATTTAGGGGTTGGGATGGGAAGGGGCTCTTTATACATCCACTGAATGAGAGAGAGACTTTGAAACTTTCATTTGGGTCCCGATATGGGGGACCTTGAAACTCCCGCTGACGTCTAACTTGGGCTCAGAAATCCCCCTGTGTTCTGGGCTAGAGGGGACCTCTAAATCTTGGGCAAAAAGAGGTCTAGGAGTTTCTCCTAGGGTTTGGGCATAGGGAGCCTCCAAATTCCCACGTTGGGGGCCTCAAACCCCCTATTTCGAGGATCACATCCTTAGCGGCCCTGGGAGGATGGGAAGTTGTGGCCATATTTGGAGGCGGGAGACTGGGGTGCAGGGAGGATCGGAGGTGAATCTGAAAGGGGTTTGGACCTGGACCCCTCTGAACCTAGGGCCTGGGGAGGGAGTCTGGGGCCCTGGTCAGCAGCCCCCCCTCTAGGCCAGAACCCCAGTCTCTAGCCCTCCCCTCTGTCCCAGGTAACCCTGTTGGCTTCCCTGGAGATGGAGAAGGCCCAGAGCCAGGAGTGGCTCGCGAAAGGGGAGGAGCTTCGGGGTGAGAAAGCACAAAGCTTTCCAAGGAGGCGGATTCGGAGGGATGGGTGAAGTATTGAAGAGGAGGGGAGACGGAGGGCCCCAGGGTTGGGGTCGCTAGGGAGCTGCCAGAAAAACCCAGTGGAGGGTGTGAAAGGAGGACCTCAGGTTTCCAAGATGGGGTGGCATGGGGGCGGGGCGGAGGCGGTCTTAGGTCCCAGGATGGAGCCCGGTGAAGGACGGTGCCACTGTGCTGACAGGTTGGGGGGGGGGGGGGGGGGGGGGGGGGGGGGGGGGGGGGGGGGGG